CTCCTCCTCCTCCTCCTCCTCCTCCTCCTCCTCCTCCTCCTCCTCCTCCTCTTAATAGTACTATCCAGGACTTTCAAAGCAAATCCTGGCCACAGTGGTTAACTCCTCGTTCCCCTCCTTTTATTCTTAGCTCTCGAATGCTAAATTGTCAAGCGCCACAGTAGGGTGGCCAAGGGAAAGAGGCCGATACCCTAGCGTCCAACGCCAGAAGTAAGCTCTCCCAGGCTGCTGTGGACCTTCCCTTAAGATCCAAGGAGTTTTCTCGGCTGCTAGGGAGGCTGGGGTGGCTAGGACGCAGGACTCAGTCTTTTCCCTGCAAGCGTTGTACGAATTTGGGTGTCCTTTTTCTCTCCTCCACCTCCCACTCTCCTCCTTCGCTTTTTTCTCCTCCTCTTTCGCCCTCTTCTGTCCTCCTTTCCCTATTCTTCGTGTCCTCCTCCTCGCCACCCTCCACAACCCCAGCTCACGCTTCCGCACAAAAAGAAGCCAATTCAGTCACTGCAGTGCTTTCCAGATCGCACATGTTTCCTTGCCCGCTCCCCGTTATTAAAATAGCAGAAATTCGTGTAACAGAGTCTCGGTCCCCGCCCTGGGAAGCCGCGCCCCCTTCCCGCCTCCCTCCCACTCTCCGCCCTCAGCCCACTCCTCCCTACCCCAGCCTTCCTGACCCCCTCCCCGCCCCCCTCCTGTCCCCGCCCCCAGCAGGGCTTTCACGCTTCATATAAAGTTCCTCTTTTCCCCCCACAGGCTTGTAGTTTCACCACTTTTAGCTTTGGGACCCAACACCAGCCCTCTCTTCGGAGGCTGGGGACAGAGGTAAGAGCTGCTGGTCCCGGGAGCCTCTGCCAAGGTGGGAGGGAAGTATTAGCCAAGGAGGTCTAAGGAAGCTTGTGTGAAAAAGAGGGGTTATCCCTGGGAGTCTCAGCTGGGAGGAAGTGAGCAGGGCTACCCTGAAATTCGCAAGCGCTTATTCAGGACTGAATAGGTCACATGCAGGTGATGGATGGTTACCACTGAACCCCTGTCACGTTGGAGTGTTGCTGAAAGAGAACTCCGTAGGGTCTCTGCACGCTGAGTGAGGATTCGGGACAGAAATCCACGTGTGGGTACGGGAGAGGAGAGGAGAAGAAGAAAGGAGAGAAGACGAAAGGAGAGGAGAGGAGAGGAGAGGTGTGATATAGAGACAGAGAGAGACAAAGAGACAGGGAGTGACAGAGAGAGAGAGAGAGAGAGAGAGAGAGAGAGAGAGAGAGAGAGAGCAGGGAATCACTACAGTTTTCGTAGCAGCGGCCAGGGATGGGAAGAGAACAAGCATGAAGAGTCTCCTATGTGGCAGGCACTATGCTAATCGTTTTACAAATATTATTTCGGGATGCTATGTGACTGACATCACGAGGATAATTGAAATCTGTAGGCTGTCAGAGGCTGTAGGCTGTATATTCCCAAGGGGAAATACAGAGTGTCTCCAAAGTCTTGGTGCCATTTGGCACAAAGCTTTAAACTAAGACTTTGGGAAGACCCTGTATAAGTCCCCTTGCGCTCCTCTGGGCACTTTGCTAAAGCTTCACGTGGCGGCTGCTAACGAGTGGAGGAGGCGGAGGGCAGGAGGTAGGAATATAGTGAAACAAATAGTAGCAGCTACTGGTGAGACCTCGATAGTTTAATTCCTTAGCAAATGAGAAAAAAAAAAGCGACAGAATTTGAATTGAGTTGAGGAGAATCTCTGAGTTGCCTTTTCTGGCGCAGTTCGTAGGTCCCCTGACGAGAGTAGGGCTCTCCCGTTACTCGCTCTGGATCAGAAGTCTGGGAGCACTCTTAGTCAGCTGCTGTTAACTCCTTCACTTGAGACGGGGGTGGGCTTAGATGCAACTCTTGAATTGACACTGCACCTCCATCCTCTCTTTTCTCCGGACGACAGTGACCAAGGTGGGGTCTGGAAACCCTGTGAGTCCCTTGTAAAGTTACCTCAGCTCTTGACTTTGATACTACTCTCCTATCCCACCAGCTCCTCATCTTCTATCTGTTCTTCCCAATCAAATAAGCCTTCCTAGCTCTCATCTCTAGTCTCGGGACCCTGATCTTTTCCTTATAATACTGTAGGCACATTTATCTTGGGAATGTTGGAAAGTTAACTATGGTGTAAGGAGAGCGTGAGAGTAGAGGCAGAAGGCGTCTAAAGGTAGAGTTAATTTTTTGCCTGCAAACACTGTGAAGTCAGGGTCGGAAAGAGTTTCCCTTAGTCCCCATAGCTAGGCGTGCTGGGGGAACGGCTCCCACAAGATGTATTCCCAGCTGATGTGGCAAATAAAAAGTCCCCGCGCTCACGTGGGAGGGCATAGCAGGTTTGGGGAGCCGTGCGAGTCTAAAAGGAGGGAGCTGGGTGTGTTGGGAGTGTGCCCAGATAGGTCATAACTGGTAAGAAGATGATATCGAAACGCGGGTCTCTGATGAGAGAATTGATGGGGAAGGGAGAGAGATAGCTAGCAAGCCAGAAGTCAAAGGAGACTGATTTACGATCCCTAAGAGTGCGCACTCAAGGCTTCGGAAGTCCCGAAGGTGTTCGGAAGAGAGTAGTGTGCAAAAGTGTAGTACACATAGTCTCAATTGGGAGAGTTGGAATCCTTACCACATCAGAAGCCTCCTTTCTCTCTTGACTGTGGGGTTAACGGGAGGGAGCAAGAGCGGGGCTGAAGAGGCTGCATTGGTGCCTCTGAGCTCCCAGTGTCTGCAGCGACTGAAGGGGCCGGGCTCCTGTTCCCTTATCCCCTCTCTTTAGTTTGGGGCCCAGGCACTTGCGAGACGCGCAGAGGCAGCAGCAGAGGCGGCAGCGGCGGCCTCGGCAGCGGCACCAGGGGACCCGGCGAGCGGGGCATGAACTTGGAGGGAGGCGGTGGCGGTAGCGGCGGCGGCGGCAGCAGTAGCGAGTGCGGGATGAGTTCTGTGAGTTGCGGAAACGGCAAACTCCGCCAATGGCTGATTGACCAGATTGACAGCGGCAAGTACCCTGGCCTCGTGTGGGAGAATGAGGAGAAGAGCATCTTCCGCATCCCCTGGAAACACGCGGGCAAGCAAGACTACAACCGCGAGGAGGATGCTGCCCTCTTCAAGGTCATTAACGCGTGGGGAACTAGGAGAAGAACTGAAAGGGAGGGGGGAGGGCCCTTGAGCTCCTGACCTAGGGATATGCCTCGTCCCCAGGTGAGGGAGCAAGGCGAGAGGGGGGAGGAGGGAAGCTTGCTCTCACACTCATCCCAGGTCTTGCAAATAACTCCAATTAGTTTGCAGTAGCAGGCAGAGGAGGCAGGGGCGGTGGTTGGGGTTATGGGGCTGTTAGGGGAGGACCCGGGAAATGGGTAGATGTCTGGGGGATCGGAACCCTTAGGTACAGTCCCGGTGGAGACCACATGAGAAAACGAAAAGCTGGTAGCTTTCTGAGGTGTTTGCACAAATGAGGGGCCAAGTCACAAGCCCCGAGAGTGCTAGGTGAGCAATATCTAGAAAGTAGTACTGCTGGCCTAGACAGGGAGATCTCCTTCCCTAGGCAGAGGGAGCCGAAGGGCTTAGGTTTAGGACAGGAGATTCTTTGTCCCTCTGTCTCTGTACCTCTCTCTCTGTTTCTGTCGGTCTCTATCTCTATTTGGGTCTTTGTATTCCAATATCCCTGTGTATGTCTCTTAGTCTGCAGATAAAATTTTTTCCATTCTAGAGCAGGTTATATGCTGATCTAGTAAGAAAGTAGTCTTGCCACCTGTAATGTTACAAAAGCAAAAGAGAGAGTCTTTTCTTAGATTTCAGGTTCCTAAGAGTTTAGACAACCCTTTAGAATGTATTCTTTATACAGGACTATCCTTTTCTTCCTGCTTCCTTCTCCCCCCTCACCCCCCCCCCCCCCGGTCGTCGGAGATGAAAAAGAGTTGGATTTTCAGTGGGATGATCCAGGTTTCCACCTGGGAAACCCAGTCTTACTACCTGGGTGACACTTGGGCAAACCATTTATGACTTTAGTTCCCTCCTGTGGGAAATTAAGCCTCAGTTTCTTTATCTGGAGGGGATGATCTTAGAGGCCTCATCTAGATATAAGATTCTAAGATAATGAAGCTGATTCTAAGATAACGAAGCTAATTATTTGAATAGATAACCACAGCCTTGGCAAAATCCCCAAGCTCTTCAAGCTTCCTTCCTCCATTTTTGAGTCATTTTGACATGGTAACTGTCCAGTCTATCAGTCAACCAGGTATTCCTCTTACTCAGACCATTTCTCTTGAGCTCAACGATATTTCTCAAAGGAAATAGTGTGCAGAAGTACTGCTTTATTTGTAAATCAATTCCTCTGAGCAGTTTCTTTTTTTTTTAATGACCAGTATTTTAATTTTAATTTTCCCTTCTTAACTTTTCCTCCCAGGCTTGGGCACTCTTTAAAGGGAAGTTCAGGGAAGGTATTGACAAACCAGACCCTCCAACCTGGAAGACAAGGTTGCGCTGTGCTCTCAACAAGAGTAATGACTTTGAAGAGTTGGTTGACAGAAGCCAGTTGGATATTTCAGATCCCTACAAAGTTTACAGAATTGTTCCTGAAGGGGCCAAAAAAGGTAGGGGGAATTTTCTTGCTGTTGTTATTTTTAAAATCAAATCTCATTTTCTTGCATTATAATCTGTTAACAGTGGAAAAACATTCAGTGCCTTAATTCTATTTTGTCAGTTTTTTTCTGTCTTCTTGAAAGCTGCCAGTCAGGTTATGAAAACTCATAAAGGTTCAGCCTCTTTCTTTGAGGCACTGATTTGAGTTTTCTGTAGCATTCTTGTGTGTGACTCCAGTCCAATATTCTATCACAACTTCCCCCGCCCCAACCACTCCCCCCAAGCCTTTGCCCTTCCAGACTTCCCTGTTATGATGAAGGGCATCTCTATTCTCCAAGCTAGCCAAGCTCTCAGCCTGGGTATCATCCTCATCTTCGACTCTTCATTTTCTATTATCTTCTCCTCCCCATATCTAACCTGTTGTCAAGTTCTGTCAATTTTACCTTCATCACATCTCTCCTCTGCCTCCTCTCTTCTGGCACTGCCACCACCAGGTACAACCCCTCACCACCTCATGTTTTGCCTATTGCTGTGGTCTTTTGATTGATATCCCTGACTTGTCTCTGCCTATTTCATCCTCCACTTGGCTGTCAAATTGATCTTCTTCAAGTGCAGGGCTGATTATTTCACCTCCCTAATCAATAAACTCCCTATCACCTCAAGGATCATATATAAAATCTTCTGTTTAGCATTCAAAGCTCTTTGTAATCTATCCCTCTCTTACTTTTCCAGTCTTCTTACTCCTTATTCAGTCCCATGTACTCTGATCCAGTAACACTGATCTCCTTACTGATCCTCAATAAAATATTCCATCTCTAAACTCCAGGTATTTTCCCTGGCTGTCTTCCATGCCTGGAATCATCATCACCCTCCTTGTGTCTGCCTACTGGCTTCCTACAAGTCCTAGCTAAAAATCCCCCCTGCTATGGGAAGTCTTTCCTGATCCCCCTTAATAGTAGTGCTTTTCCTTTGTTGATTATTTACAATTTGTCTTGTACATATCTGGTTTGTACATAATTGTTTGCATGTTGTCTCCACCATTAGACTGTGAGTTCTCTAAAAGTAGGCAATATTTTTAATCTTTCTTTGTATCCCCAGTGCTTAGCACAGTGCTAGCACATAGTAGGCACTTAACAAAAGCTTATTGACTGACTGCCTGACATCACTCACTGAGAGGCATACTACAGATTCCCTTTCTTTGATCAGTCAGTGAATTACTCTAGTAATGTCATAGGCCATATTTCTGGCCATGAATAGATAACCACTGGACACTGAGGACTTTGGTTATTCCCGAGAGCCTTTAGTGACAAACTACCACCCAAAAGGCTAAACTTAAGTTTATTTGCTCTTTTGAGTATCCTGCCCATCAGTCCTTGTAGGAATCCTTTTCTCATTGAAAGGAAAATCTATAAATATTACTGGCAAATATCTTGTTTGATATAATTTCTGGACTGGATATTTTCTCAGGTCCCTTTTCATTCTGTATCCAAATTTATTTTTTAACCTTAAGTTTTATTGTTATTATTATTGTTACTATTTTTAATGTACTATTTCCTCTTTGCCTACATACAAATAGGAGCTAAACAATTAGGCTTGGAGGATCCCCAGATAATTATGAACCACTCTTTCGCAATGCCTGCTCCCTACCCATCACTACAAACTCAGGTGAGTCAATGAATCTTATGAGGGTAAGTCATAACAAAACAACTAGTAAATTCAGTTTTAAAAATCAAGCTTATTGTTTAGGTGGTAAGAACATGGAAAAAAATTATCAATTTTTTTCATTGAAAAAATTTTTAAATTTTCAAATGGTTTGTCAATGCAACATTGGTTTAACTGATGGTGGGTTTTATAAGAATGTTATGTTTGATGGGAGCAAGGAAGGGAAAGAGACAGAGACAGACTGAGAGAGACATAGACAGACAGAGATTGAGACTGAGTTAGAGAAAGAGAGACAGAGGGAGACAGAGAGACACAAAGAAAGATAAGAAGGCATAAGGAAACATGGAGGAGTAGAATATCTTTTTTTCCCCCAATTGATTCTAAGATCTTCTGGGAAACAGGCTTTTTGTTGAAATTTATAAGTTGGGAAGAAGTGCTTTATCATGTGAAACCACAGGGCAGCTGATCCTAGCTGGCTTTTTCTAAAGTGAATTACAGCTCTGTTTGATTGAATCTGGTGGGTGAAGGGAAATAATTTTCCCTGTGGTATTTTTGGTGCCAGAGTTTAGCCATATGATGAAGCTTTGCATAAATCAATATTTTGCCACAGTGCCTTGATTGTATTTTTAAAATATTATTTAACTTGTTAGTGAGATGAACAACTCCTTCTAAACTTTTTTTTCTGAAGATAAAATCATTCTTGGCCACTTGCCAAATAAGTGAAGCCCTAGAAACTCCAGGAGTATACAAAAAAAAAGTCCCCTATCAAAATGATGATTTGAGATGAGTTCCCCAAAGCCCTCATTCTTCTTTTTTGATCTAAACAGGTTCCAAACTATATGATGCCCCATGATCGTAATTGGAGAGATTTTGTTCCAGAGCAGCCTCACCCAGAAATCCCCTATCAATGTGCAACTGTCCCTTTTGGACCTCGAAGTCACCATTGGCAGGGTCCTACTTGTGAGAATGGTAAGAAGAATTCCAGTCCTGGTTTCCTTTATCCATAGTCTGTGCCTTTGGCCCACTAATACTGAACTCACTGATAATGAGACCACAGTTTAAAAAAAAAAATCACTGCTAACCTCGTGTTGTCTATCAATGATAAGAAGCTTCCCCTTTCTGAGGACAACGTAAAGAAAGACTGCCATGCGCAAATGCAGAGGCAAGACGGTTTGGTGGACTAACAAATGTCTCTTTACCTTATACCTATTAACTGGACTATTCTCAGTCTCTTCCCTTGTCTTTATTGGGGGTAAAAAAGGAATATTGATCTCCTGGTGCTGATGCTAAGTTAATGTATAAAGATTATGGTATGATCAAGTGATACTGAATCTTATCCTAAAGAGAAGCCATCATGTGTTTGGTGTAGTAGATTTCTTGAGTTCTACATTTTATTCCTAGCCCTATGATGTGTGCCAAGAACTTCCTCATCCTTTCCCATCTAAAGATTCATGAGATAGTGAGGAAGTGCCAAATAGTTTTGCCCTCAGTGGATGGAATGCTAGGCTTAGGGTCAGAAAGATTCATCTTCCTGAGTTCAAATCTGGCCTCAGACACTTACTATATGTGTGACCCTGGGTAGGTTGTTTCACCCTGTTTGCCTCAGTTTCCTCATCTGTAAAATGAGCTGGAGAAGCAAATGGCTAACCACTCCAGTGTCTTTGCCAAGAAAACCCCAAATGGGATCATGCAAAGTTGAATGTGACTGAACAACAACAATTTCCTCATTTATAAAATATGAATTATTGCAGCTATTGAAAGGCAGTACATTGAGGTAGATCATGGGCTGGCCTTGGGAAGTCAAGAAGAGCTGGGTTCAGGTCTTGCCTCTGACATTAATAAGTTGTGTGATCCTGGGCAAGTCACTATACTTATCAATGACTTAGGGAACTCTCTAAGAATATTAGTTACAGATGAATTGTTGATATGTATTGTTAGAGGGAGTTTGCATGCAAGAATTCCCTATATTGATGAAATAACAAGTGTGTATCAAAAAAAATAGCAGCTGTTGCTTCTATTCTACCTTTGATTCAGTTTGCCATTATAACATTATTGTCTCTGTTGTGACCGGAGTCTCTCTGAAAAAGGTGATGGATAGGACTACAGTGTTTCAGAGTTGAAAGAAAACTTTCAAGGTCATTTAGTCCAAACCCCTTATTTTATTCATGGGGAGCCTGAAGTCAAGACAGGAGAAATAACTTGTCTGAGGTGACACAGGTAGCATTGAGTAGTTGAGCTAGGATTTGCATTCCTGCTTTGTAATCCAAACCCAGTGTCCTTTCTGGTACACCTCACGATCTAGATGGGAAATATTTTGTCCTTGATACTCAAGTGGATTTATAATCTCATCAGTTTAAAGCTTCCTCCAACTCTGTGCTCATCCTAGGCCACAGGGTGTCCACTTTATTGAAACTTTTATAAAATGCATTTATAATGGAAGCACTTAACCTTTTTTTGTGTTGGACTCTTGATGAAGCATAGGGACCCCTTCTCAAAATAATGCTTTTTTTTTTTGGCTAGGCAATGGGGTTAAGTGACTTGCCCACGGTCACACAGCTAATAAGTGTTATGTGTCTGAGGCCGGATTTGAACTCAGGTCCTCCTGACTCCAGGGCCAGTTCTCTATCCACTGAGCCACCTAGCTGCCCCAAAATAATGTTTTTAAATACATAATATATATATATGATTGTAAAGAAAATCAATTATATTGAAATATGGTTATCTATATCAGTATAGTATACCTATATAAAAACATATAGATACTATATAGAAATAGGTTTATAATTTTAAATTTAGATACATTAAAAGAAAACCAAACAAATAAGTTCAATGGATCACATGTTGAGAACCCCTAATTTAAAAGGTCATAAAAATTATTTACTAATGCAAAAATAAAAGATTCATAACCTATTAAGTTCCAGAGCGGTTTTATTATATTTAGATTAGAGCAGGTCATAACTCTTAAAGAGATTCCCTCCAATACTGAAATGAAATTTCACAGGAGCTCAACATAGCAAAAGCAGCATAAGGGAAGACTATTTGATATAGCATATAGGAAATTCTTAATATAGTATTACAGAGATGAGTTAGCATAATATACTAGAGAATGCTAGGACTTTTAAAAGTCTGTTCTTTGGATATAAGTACTGAAAGAACACCTAATAATTTGCTTCTTTTGCATATTCTGGGACCATTTTCTCCTATTTAACCAACATATATTACGTTCTGTATATGTTCAGCAAACCAATAAATTGACAAGTGTTTTTTTTTTTTTTGAGCAACTACCATGTGCCTGGCACCCTGCTAGACACTGGGTATGCCAAGACAAAGAATTTAACAATCCTTAGTCACAAAAAACATTCAGCTTTATGCTGTTAATTCATTATTATTTGATGTATGTTTTATATCTTATATCCACAGCATTCTGTATTCACTTATTTGAGTTACTCAGAGATGATTTCCAATATTGCCATATTCTTCCCATTTTTGAGATGAATAAAGTAAGATTAGAACAACATTCCTGAGCCCCAGGTCCGTGTACAGTGGAGCTAGATCTATTAGATTGATAGCCATAAGTATTAACTATGAGACTGTGGTTATAAATACAGGATGTCTCAAAAATCTTAGAGAAGTTTAAAGCCTTAATAATTTAAAACTGCGCTAAGACTCTGGGGATACTCTGTATGTAAGGAGAAGGAATGACAGGCAAATCTCTGAAGGAAAAATAAGATGAACAAAGGGAAAGGAATGTCCATTGCAGAGTCTTTCTTTATTAAAAGAGATCAGGGTTCTTCCTTTTCTTGCTCAGTTCCCCCAAACTCATCAAAAGCAGGTTAAAAAAAAAGTAAACTAAATATTTGAAAAGTTCCCACTTAGTTTTGCTCATGTCAGAAAGTTCAAAGAAAGTGCAGGAAATTCTTTGGTTCCAGGATCTACCTGGCAGGACTTTGGGCTCCTTAGCTTCTTCTCCCTGTGCCTCAGTTTCCTACAAGCCCAGATTTCAACCTGGCACCTGGGACCCTTGTCTCACAGAGCTGACATAGGAAACAGTTAGCTTTGAGTTTCTTGAGTTCTTACACTGTAAGGCCCACCATAGTGGACTCTGTGGAAGGCCTCCACTTTATTTCCCAGATTTTTTTGTGGATTGGTAGGAATAGCAACATTGCTTCACAAAGATGCTACCTCTTGCTGACTTTGAATGTCAGTTAAGAAATTATTTGGTTTTTATTTGTAAATACAGGTTGCCAGGTGACAGGCACCTTTTATGCTTGTGCACCACCTGAGTCACAGACTCCTGGAATACCCATCGAGCCAAGCATAAGGTCTGCTGAAGCCCTGGCCCTCTCAGGTAAGTGTGATGTTCTGTCTGTCTGTCGGTGTAAGCCACAGAGTGTGGTAATAGCAGCTGTCACTTGTGTCCCTCATTTGTGGACTAATTAGTGAGCAGATTTCTGGTGACTTGAACCTCTCTGAAAAAGAGGACTAAGCAATCAATAAACATTTATTAGAAGCGTACTAGGTACCAGACACCATGCTAAATGCTGGGGATACAAAAAGAGGCCAAAAACCGGTCCCTGATCAAAATCTAACAATCAAGGCAACAACATACAAACAGATATATACAAAAAGCAAGCTAAATACAGGATTAATAGGAAGTAATTAAGAGAGGGAAGCACTGGAATTAAGAAGAGTTGGGGAAGGCTTCCAGTAAAAGATGGGATTTTAGTTCTTTTAAGTAAAGGAAGCCAGAAGGCATAGAAATTAATCACTAACATGGTGCTTTCAGGAAACAGTGAATTGTTTACAGCAGGAAAAGTACAGTATACGACAGCTGGTACTGGCCTCTTTCCTCTTTTCCTGCACATGTGTATACATGTACACATATATAATATGTGTACATGTATATACTAAAATTTAAACTTGGAATATTGGAAGTAAACAATAAAAAAACCCAAAATTTTATTAAATCACTCCCTTAAAATCATCTTTCTATTTTCTTCTTTCAGTGACCATTATTTGAATGGAGTTCCCTTTAGTTTATTGCTGTTGACTGCCTTGTCAATAAATAAAAGGAGATAACAGTTGTAAATCATTTTATAAACCTTAAAATACTATGTAAATGTTAGCTATTCTTATTAGTAATAAGAATGACATGCCCAAGTTTCACTTTTGATGATTCAGAAGTTAATACTCATCGAGTGACCACTTTAGCAGGGTTCAGTCTTAGTAAATGTTACCGTAGAGCCCGATTTCTGAACAAGGGCTGACAATGAATGTTAACTGTCTAACTAGCAAATATAGGTTACAACTTTCATTGCAACAATTATCTTTACTTAACAACTAGATTTCTGGACCCCAGTTTCTGTTATTTTAGGAATATTTGATGCAGTATAATTGTAGGCCAACCAAAGAAGTTAGATAACTCCATTTGATTGCAGTTGTGAAGGAATTTGACCTGTACGATCAGTATTAATCTTTAGTATTACTCACCATGAAACTACTCCATTTTAAAACTGATGTTAGAGACTGTGCTATATGAGGGGAGGGATGGGGTGAGGTTATTTTTCATAGTGGCTTTTGGACACAAGACACAAGAAGTCACAATGACTGAGAATGCCTTTTGAGAGGAGGTGTCTTAGGACTGTAAGAATTGTACATGAGAACATCTGTGTTTTTAGAACTTTCATATTCTTTTCATGGGTGCCCCAGTCTGCGTGGGTGCTAGAGGAGTAGGAAATAAATAGCTATTTATGTCAGCGTGACCTTGTGATAACTGACGTCACTAAATGAAATGAAACCTGCCCCAAGAGTCACCTCCAAAAGGCAACACCTCGTCTTTGTCAGTAGATATTCTGCCTGAGCCCTTGGTGCTGGAGTCTGTCTGCACAAACACATTGAGTGGCAAGCTGAGCCAGTACTCTGGATTGGAGGAAAAAAGAAGGGTCTATGGGCTTCGTCTTTGGGAACCTTCCTTGTCAAGACTGATTTGTGTCTTTTGATTCAATTCATTGAAAAAATGTTCACCTTCCCCACTTAAATGTGCACAGCCACTGCATATGTAGTGTTGGGGGATCTGAAACCTGTCCAGAGCCTTTGCTTAAGATTTTAAAGAACTCTAACGACTAGGGCAACTGCTTCCTCTTCATCTTGTAAATGTTATTTAGGATCTTTCCTAAATAGGTGAAATGAATAAATTTGCATATCTCACCATCTAAAACATTAGAACATAAGAACAGTCTTAAGGACTGTTGTCAAACATCAGTGGACAGATGAATAAGATTTTAATTAAATTTGCTTAAATGTTGCCTTTCAGAAACATTTTTTCCCCCATTACTGGTTAGGTTGCAAAGCATTTTGTGGGTATACGATATTTCCTTTCATTTTGACAAAATCCCATTAAAAAAAATCTTCCCTTCCTTTTCCCCTCCCCTTATTTTCCTTTCTTTTTCTTTCCTTTCTCTTCTCTTTCCTTTTCCTTTCCCTTCTTTTCCCACTCCTCCTCTTCCCCTCCCATCTCATTCGTTCCTTTTTTTTTCTTTCACTTATTTTCACTTTTATCCAATGATTCCCATAAGAGTGTCTGCCTATCGCTCTATCTTGAAGGAGATGTGGTACTTTTAGTCCCCCAATCCATGCCTGCTCTAATCTTTCCATGGAGCATGTCCTCGGATGCTATATCACTCAAAGCTGAAGAAAAGCACAAAGGACAGAGCACCAAAGCCTGGGAAACATCATTCTTTTCACTGGTTGCAGCTAGCTCTGGAGTGAGCTCTCTTGTTTGAAAACAAATTCTTGATAATTAGTACAAGACTTGCTATTTGAGAAATATCAGCCCCACCAACAGCAATACGAAAACAAGTTAAATATCATTTCGGCGAGTTAAAATCTTTCAGTGTGATGTCTGGTAGGATGGGCATACAGTATTTTTCTCTTGATCCTGACTGTGAAACAAATCTCTCTCTTCAGATTGCCGGCTGCACATCTGTTTGTATTATCGTGAAATACTGGTGAAGGAGATAACCACCTCGAGCCCTGAAGGCTGTAGGATATCTCATGGCCAGAGCTATGATGCCAGTACACTTGATCAAGTTCTCTTCCCCTATCCAGAGGATAACGTCCAGAGGAAAAACATAGAAAAATTGTTGAGCCATTTGGAAAGGGGAGTCATTCTCTGGATGGCACCTGATGGGCTGTATGCTAAGAGACTTTGTCAAAGCAGGATCTATTGGGATGGACCTTTGGCATTATGCAGTGACCGTCCTAATAAGCTGGAAAGGGATCAGACCTGCAAACTTTTTGACACGCAACAGTTTTTATCAGGTATGCACATACTTGTCTAGATGTCTGTTAGTGGTATAGCTAGAAGGAAAGTGGCAATAAGAATGACTAGCTCATCTACAGATAGTCCAGAGACTTTTCCTTTGTCAATTCTGCACTTTGCCAAGGATCATCCAGGTTTTCTGGCTCATCTGCCATACCAGTTGTCCCACCAAACATTGTCTTGTATTCGAAGTTGGTATGAGTGGGGGATATGGAAATCCAGATGAAATGCTTGATAGGATGGCCTTTTACATTCTGGTTTTCAACAAATAGTATCCCATGAATAGAAATTTAGGTGTTTTAGCAATATGTTCTCTGAGAGCATATGTAATAATGTCTCAGACCTTTAAATTTCCTAGAAAAATTGTAAAGGTTAGAGTTAGAAGTATGTTATTAATAATGTAAGCTCAGATGTGTCACCTTTATGCAACTGCCTTTTGGCATATGGAAACTTGAAATGGGTCTATTGGCTTTGACTAAAGAAGGAAATTATTAAGCATTATTGCTTTGAGTTATTTTTGTGACTCATATTTATATAGCATGTGCTGATTATAATGGGCTGCTTTCGCAATATACCTTTTGTTATGTATCTGTTAGATTTGTACTAAACTAACTTTCCCAATAACAACTGGTCCACTCTTTCGAAGCCTATCCTAAAGGACTAATTTTGTGGTCTGGGCTTGCCCCTTTTGGAGAGGAGAGGGAGGGGATAGGAGCTGACCATTGCCTATTTCCTGCCCTTCACTCAACCTTTAATCCCATGAGCTCATCACCGATTTCTGGCAGCTCCTCCCCAGAAGTCCTCCATCTTTACATGCATCCTTTGACCCTAGAAGTTCTTCTTACTGACCTAGAAGGTTAGGCAGATGCCAGCAATGCCAGGCTGAGATAGTCTAAGCCTTTGTGGAACCTCTTAAATGGCATCCTGTCTCCTGAAAAAGTTACTATTTTGGTCCTGATCATTTTAGTTTATACTCTTAACTTGAGATTTATTTGAAATGAAGAAAGTACACAGGTTGAGATAAGGATTGAACCTGTTATTTCACTGATTTAGGGAAATCCTAGGTGAGGACCCTTCCTTTATCAGTGTCGGCGGACACCCTATCTGCAGCTTATAGTCTTCAAAGCGTTGAAAAGTTAAGAGATTTGCTCAGGGTCAGATATCCAGTGTTTGTCAGAGGCACCACTAAAATCCAGGTCTTCCTGGTGTCAAGAGCAGTTCTCTACCCATTGTACCACGCTGCCTCTGGTACACATAAAATAACCATGTTACAGCTCCTGGAAACATTTGTAAAATGTTCTTATAAAATTCACTGGTTCTTGTCTGCACTCATGTTTTAAGCAAACTGAACTGGTGTTGGGGGAAGCATGGCCTATATTTGGACTTATAGTTTGCTGACCCAGAGGACTTAAACAAGAGGGAGGTGAGAAGTAAAATGACAAGGTTACTTCATGGGTGACTCAGCAGATGGAGTAGTCAGGAAGACTGGAGTTTGAATTCTGCCTCAGACTCTTTCTAGCTGTGTGACCCTGGATAAGCAACTTCCCCTCACTGTGCCTCAGTTTCTTATTCTGCAAGATAAGGAAGTCAGACTCAACGGCTTTGAAGGTTCCCTCCAGCCCTAAATCTGTGGTCCTATAAAGTAAACCCTTTAGGTTCTTAGGGGCAACTTAGGCAATACTACGGAACTCTCTTTAGGCATAGACTTCGGTTGTTCCATTGTGCTCAGTTGGGTGGGTACCCTATGGTACTGGAAGGGGAAGGACAGTAAGCAAAGGAAGCAGCTAAGCCCGCATTTGTGGACCCTGACTGCATTGGATTTAGTGTCAGGATGGCCTCTCTAGAGGTAGAACCGGGTTAAGGGGAAAGGCCACCAGAAGTAGGGTCAGAGAGTCTGGGGTCCAATACAGGCCCTCTTTGTCCTCTCTGTGGATCAAGGGGAAAATCACTTGATCTGTCTTGGCCTCAGTTCCTCATCTTTCAAAATGAGGGGACTAGACTGGGTGATCCTTCTGGATTATTTTGGCCCTCAGGTTCTGCAGACATGATGAGGGAGTCTGCCTAGGGTTGGAGATGGGAAGGAGCCGGAGAAGGCTGTGCTTTGTGAGCTGGGCAGGGCCAGGGTTGCGATTACCACAGATAAGGAGGCATTGCCTGCTTTGGTTGAGGGAAGTCGCACGAGTAGGGGCTTTTAGCTCAAGAATCCTGAGAAATTCAAGAAAATCACTTCTGCCTTCCTGAGTTCCCCCTGAAGTTCCACTATGCACTTCCTTCCTGTTCTGAGCCTCAGCTGCATGTTCTCAAGCCATCATCTGCTCTGTACCTGAAAGACTGGTGTATTCAAGGAGTGGGCAGAAGGATTCCCGTAGGGTGGGAATGGTCCAGTCCGGTCCTTAGACTTCTCCTCTTGCACGCCCAGAAGTTATTATTTAAGCCAATCACTGGAACTCTTATCTTTGAGCCAGTGGTGATTTGTTTATACCTGTAATACTTCCCTCTCAGGGCTGTTGCGAATATCAAAGGAGATCACAGGAGATGGAGCCTAGATCTAACATTGGAAGGGAGTGAGCTTAGAAGCCACCTAGTTCACCCCCCAACCCCTTCATTTCGAAGCTGAGGAAACTGAGGTCTAGGGAGGATGAAGAGACTTGTCCAAGGTCATATAGGGAATAAGGACCAGCGGCAAGATTCAGATCCAGGTCCTCTGACTCCTGAACCAGTGAATGTGCTTTCCATTATCCAGAAAGTGCTTTGTTAACCTTAGAGTGCTATATAAAAATCAGCCATTATTATGATTATTTATTGTTGCTGTTCAGTCGGTTCAGCTGTGTTTGACTCTTCATGACCCCATTTAGAGTATTTTTGGCAAAGATACTGGAGTGGTGGTTTGCCATTTCCTTCTCCAGTTCATTTTACAGATGAACTGAGGCAAACAGGGTTAAGTGACTTGACCAGGGTCACACAGCTAGTAAGTGTCGGAGGCTGGATTTACACTCAGGAAGATGAGTCTTTCTCACTTCAGGCCCAGTACTCTATCTACTATGTCACCTAGCTGCTGCTGCTTCTTCTTCTCCTTCCCATTGTCCTTCTCCTTCTTCTCCTCCTCCTCCTCCTCCTCCTCCTCCTCTTCCTTCTTCTTCTTCTTCTTCTTCTTCTTCTTCTTCTTCTTCTTCTTCTTCTTCTTCTTCTTCTTCTTCTTCTTCTTCTTCTTCTTCTTCTTCTTCTTCTTATTGTTAGAGAGCTGGGAGATTACCAGACCAGAACGGAGACCACTCTTCAGCTCTGGGTGTTCACATGGCATCCACATAGGCAAAATCAAGTGTAGAAACGAGCATTTATCCAGCGAACGTGGGTTATTTAGACAAATAGCATAGACCACAAACTCTTCTTTTCTCTTAACAGGCTTTGGGGAGGTTGATCACCCAGCATGTTGCCTCAGCTTTCTCCTTTCCTGGACTTGTTTCCAGGTTTCATTGAAGTAGTTCTGTTTAGTTTGAATTCTGGAAACAACTTCTTACTCTGACTCTCCATGCCCCTCCCCCCCCCCCCACATCATCAAGTGAGTTAGCTAGAAACTCTTCTGCATTTGAAGAGGATGATGGAAACTTTTTTCATATCTACCCATCCAGGATACACAAACTGTAAGGGACAGCCCCCTGAAAGCAGGAACCAGGAGCATCTAGCTGATAAAAGAGGCATCCAGGGCTGTGGTGCATTTTAAAACTATTGTGTCAAATAGATTTGGAGACCTGAGATGTTACCCTTTCCTTAATGAACTGAAACAGTCCAAGACAGGAATGTTACCTTGAACACCAACAAAGGGAAGATGGGCTGATGTAATAGACTGAGCATTTCTCTGTTCAGCAAGGTTCCAATTTCAGTTATAAGTATTCAGGGAAGGAGCTGTGGGTCTGGGCTATACTCTGTCTCCAAACATACCCTTGTGCTTGGAAGCAATAATCAATGGCTGATTGATTACATATGTTGTTCCATCCCACATCACCCTTCTGCTTCAGCAGGTACCTGAAAATACAGTTCAGCCTGAAATTTTTTAGGCATGGTACTTACTAAAAGATGTCCAAAATGTGTAGCATGAATACATCCCAAACTGAATGCAGTCTATGTTCACATTACTTCTTCAGGTTGTACCTTTATTTTTCTTTGTAAAGAAATCTCATTTTATATGAGGTCTAAAATGATAATCAGGGGCAGCTAGGTGGTACAGGAGTGCTAGGCCTGGAGGGAGGAAGACTCATCTTTGTGCGTTCAAATCTGAATTCAGACAATTACTGACCCTGGGCAAGTCACCTAACCCTGTTTGCGTCAGTTTCGTCTTCTGTAAAATGAGCTGGAGAAGGAAATGGTGAACCACTCCAGTATTTTTGCCAAGAAAACCCCAAAAGGGGTCATGAAGAGTCAGATATGATTGAACAACAAAAATGATACTCATTTTTGGTCGTAGGATATTGGAGACCAAAGAAATAATCTACTGCAGGACTAGGGAGAGTTAAATTAACAGTCTGTAAAGCATAGATCCATGCTACTGACCTTCAAGGGAGACAGGATCTTAGAAGGTCACCCAGCCTGTCTCCAGATACAAGGGAGGAAGCTGGTGACTTACCCAGAAGCACCTACTGAGTCAGTAATAAAGCTGGAATGAATACCTGGTTCTCCTGCCTTCTAGTCTATGCACTTTCTTCTGCATCCACCATGCTGCTTCCCAGACAATGAAGTCTTCCTTCTACTTTGGCTTGTCTTGGTTTGGTCATAGAGTAAAGCTCTGTGATTTATTGGAATGCCATAGAAGTGACATGGTGGGTAGAGGGAGAAAAAAGCTCAGGAAACATTTCTTTAAAATTTTGATTTTTTTCCCATGGAAGATAAAACATTTTAAAACCTTTTGTAGTTAAGTAACTGCTCTCAAACTATGATGACCTTTATGAACATTATATTACCTTTTGCTCTCTCTTTTCTCTCTCCCTTTTTACTTTCTCCTTTTTTTCCTCTTTCATTGTCTTTCTTTCTCTTACTTCTGTCCCTTGTTCTTCTTCTTTCTCTCCCTCCCTTCTTTCACCCATTCATCTTAGCAGTTTCACCCTTATTCATCTCTTTTTTTGTCTTTCAATACCTTTCCCTTTATGCCAGGGGCATTTAAATAACCTGACATCTGTGAACTTAAAAATTTTTTTTTGATAATTTTTCTCAGTATAACTGATTTTCTTTGTAATTCTATGCATTTTGTTTTATGCATTTTAGAAACATTATTCTGAGAAAAGGGTTCACCAGTGTGTCAGAGGGGTGCATGACACAAAGAGTACTATGTTACACTGCCACATTCTTTATGGACACATGCCTTGTCTTCTAGAGCATTATCACTATTAAGCACTTGCTGTATGGCTTGGAAACTTATAGTCCACAGAGAGGGTTTTCTGAATGTCATTTTTTAATCTCCAGAGTTACAAGCATTTGCTCATCATGGTCGCCCTCTACCAAGATTCCAGGTAGTTTTGTGCTTTGGAGAAGAATTTCCAGACCCCCAGAGGCAAAGGAAACTTATTACAGCCCAAGTAAGTATTCGCTTACTGAGTTTTTGTGGCACTAGGAAAAGGGAGTGACTGTCATTTTAAAATTTTGGTTCCAAGTAAAGAACGAACCATTATAACTTGGATAAATAAAATGCAGAGACAGAGAGAGAGAGAAAGAGGAGGGGAGATGAAGGGAAAGGAAGGAAGGGAGGGAGAGAGAGAGAGGGAGGGAGGGAGGGAGGGGGAGAGAGAGACAGAGAGATACAGAGAGACACAGACAAAGAGAGACAGACAGACATATAGAAACAGAGAGAGATATACAGAGAGAGTTAGAGAATGATAAATATACAGACAGAGACAGAGAAAGACAGAGACAAAGATGGGAGGAGGAAATAGAATGCAATAAACAGCACGAAAAACTAATCGTCAAGGAACTTCACTTCTGTTCTTCACCATTGTATTGATTCACTGAATGATCTTAAGGCAGGCAACTTAAACGTAGTGTACCTCAGTTGTCCTCATCTGTTAAAAAAAAAAAAAGGAATATTCCTGTTGCATAGAAGTGCACTAGGAGCTGACAATCTGACTCTTCTTTGAAATTCTCTATTTTCATTTTGAAAAAATAGTCTAGATGGACTTTCCCAATTAACTTTTTTCCATATTAGGTCCTAAAGCTGGAAGGGATATTGGAGGTCATTTAATTTGACCCCTTCATTTTTAAAGGGATTTTTAACCTGGGGTCCATGAAATTACTAAAAAAAAATTTTGTTTTTGGATAACTGTACATCAATATATTTGATTTTGTTTGTAGTCCTATGCATTTTATTTTGTGCTTTAAAAAAACACCATTCTGAGAATGATGATAAAAGATGGGTTTCATTGGACTTCTTAAAGGGTCCATGGCACAGACTGTATTAAGAACCCCTGTTTTATAGATATGGCTCAGAGAAGCGAGGTCAGGCAGAAAAAGAGCAGAGATGAAATTTGGACTTAAGTCCTCTGACTCAGTCGGTAGACCCTACCATCTCTAGAAGGATGAATTCTGTAGGTCCCCTTCATCTAGGGAATGATGCACTTGCAATTTTCTCTGCTAGAAAGCTTTTTGTCTGTCTGTATGAGGGAGGTGGCTTATTGGGAATTATTCAAACCAGAATTTTCTCCTTATCCCCAATAACTCGAGGTTTTTGTCCTCATAACAAATGCGGGAAGTTGTAGTTTATTGGACTGAGCCATTCAGATGATTGCCCCAGTCCTCAGTTTCGTTTTACCTGCATATAGGTAAAGTTTCAGTGGTTTGGAAATTTCAAGTCGCAGGTGAGTCTGCAGTTTAGAGTCATAAACTAGACTTGTAAGAAAAATTGGGAAGGAACCTTAGACTTCATTTAGGCGGTTTATAGTAAGAGGCATAGAACGAAGAATCACCTTGATCAGGAACACAAATCTAGACAGTGGCAAGACCCAGGCTAGAATCCAGGTTTTCTTGGATCTAGTCTAATACATTTTAAGTCTCAAGAAAGAAGATCATCCATAGATTCTGATCAGCATTTCATATGAAATAAACATCTGTATGAATAATGGGAAGAAAGTCAACTATCTGGATGCTTCCCCAAGTCTGTATGTTTTGGTTTTGGGTGGATGTAGACTCAGATTTGCATTTCAGAGTGGTAGTTTTTGTTAGGTGATTAAGAAAAAAGCATATTTCATGAAGCATTATCACTGTCTTTTTTTTTTAATTTTTCATTAAGGTTGAGCCATTACTAGCCAAACAGCTCTTCTACTTTGCTCAGCAAAATAGTGGACATTTTCTGAGAGGCTTTGATTTACAAGAACATATTACCCGGCCAGAGGATTACCATCGACCAATTCGACATTCCTCCATCCAAGAATGAAAACGCTGGAAGCAAGTTTTTAAAAATGGCATCACAGTAAATGACTTAAGAAGAATAGGTGTGAAACTTTTTTTTTTCCTTTCTTTTCTTGCGCAAGACAGTATTGGGGCAATAATTCAGGAGAAAACTCAACTGGATTATGTACAAGTGATAAGATATGTTAGAACGAAAAATGGACTCATCCCAAAAGGACTCATAGCAGTGAAAGGTCTTCTGGGTTGTCCATTGAGTTATTCTGGTCTCACAAGGATTCTGCTGTCATTGGGAGTAACTGTGAAAACCGACCAAATAGTATGTTTACATTTACTTAAATGTTATCTTTGATTTGATAATAGCTATTTCTTACTGAAGATGGAAAATACTGCCTTTTCAGGATTGAAATTTGACTAGGATGATATGACTTGAGCTAGGGCAGCTAAGTGGTACAGTGGATGGAGCATTGGACCTGGAATCAGGAGGACCTGAGTTTAAATCCGGCTTCAGACACTTACTAGCTGTGTGACTCTGGGCAAGTCGCTTAACCCTGTTTGCCTCAGTTTCTCATCTGTAAAATGAGCTGGAGAAGGAAATGACAAACCACTCCAGTACCTTTGCCAGAAAAACTCCAAATGGGGTCATGAAGAGTTGGACAGGACTGAAATGACTGAACAACAACAAAATAGTAAAAGCTATTTATGTGTTCTGAATCTCAGGGAAGATAAATCTATTCATGAAGTTACTATATCCACATATTAACACATTAATTATCTCACAGAGAAATTATAGCTCTTGCAGAAAAGTTTTTGACCAGAAGGGAATTATTTTTGGGCATAGACTAATTCAGGAATGGCTCTTTCCATGAGGATCATGGGTTTCATTCCCTTAAGCCACCTCTTCCTCTCTTCTGATACCCTCTAGTATCCTAAATCATGCTATAAATTGAGATCCTCCCCTTGGGCTACTCCCACCCCCTCCCCCAGCTTAGAAATGGAGTAATAATGATGGTTAAGTTAGATATATATACTTTCAGTGCTGTGCGGTGAATAGACAGAAATGCATGTGTGTGTGTGTGTGTGTGTGTGTGTGTGTGTGTGTGTGTGTGTACAATTTATAAATTGATGTTCAGCTTTTCCTCTCTTTATGTTTTGAAAAATGTTTTAGTATGTTCTTTAAGAAGGAGTTCAATTGCTAAAGGTTTTTACAGCTCGTGACATTTTCCCTCTTGTTTTGCTCGGTTTGTTTGGCTATTAGTCAGTTACCCATGGTTACACTAAAGAGGAGGAGCCTGGATAGTCATTGTGATGACTTGTATTATGAAAATTGATGACAGCATTGAACTTGTTGCAAACTTTGAGTTGTTTTTGCTTGTGTCTGGATGTCACATCCTTCCTTATACCAATAATTCTTTAACAGAGGTTTGGATTTGCTATGCTTTGTCCAATGTGTAGATGAGGAAATATATTCACAAAGACAACCAGTTCCTTAAATAGTTCTTGTAAATTGTTTAGGAGAAGTGGAGTGTGTATTTCCCAGTACAAAACATGCTTTGGGGAGTGTGGAATACTGGAAAGATCATTGGACTAGGAGCAGGCACATTTCTAGTCCTGGCTACCCCATTTACTGTGTGTGTGACCTTGGGCAAGTCATCTCACTTCTCCAGGTCTCAGTTTCCTTATCTGTAAAATGAAGGATGTTGGCTCACTTCATCCTCAAGGGTCCCTCCCGTCTGCAGATCCTTTGACCTATGCTTTTCTATGTCCTGATTTCAACAATTTTTTGGTATATGCAAACATTGACTTGAAAGCATTCCAACAGCTAGTGAGCATGTCTGGCCATGCTCTTAGGGGTGTGGAGGTTTTTGTTTTAATGAGTTGTAGTGATATATACATCTTATAGATGCAAAATATTGTGGGGTATATTATCCTATTTGAGTGGAAGAGAACTGGTTCACTATGCTTTTATATTCTTTTATTTGTAAGACAAAGGAAGATTCATAATCACTCTTGAGTTAATGTCTCTGTTATCAGGATTTAGTCTGTATTTTCTTCAAGGTAGAATGCTCAGATGCAAATCAATCCTTTGAAGGTGCTCATAGCATCCCTTTCAGTATTAAGACATATATAATCCCCATTTATTTTAATTCTGAAGTCAGATGCTTGATTTCAATAAATGAAGTGGTTTCAATATGAGGATTTTAAACCATTTTAGAAATCTATACTCTCACCAGAATACTGCTTTTAGAGTGATGTTAGATTTTCTGGGAGATGCTCATTGGCTGTGAATCACTTCCTCTTTGTAACCTTGCTGGCTCTCAGCCTGACTTTTGGAAGGAATGGAGGCTGGTATATGGCCTAAAGGGCCTAAGGTATATGGTATAAGGTATAAGATATAAGGTATATGGCCTAAAGGGCTAAGAGAGGATTAAATGATCACTGAAAACATCAAGATCGTGAAGGGCACAGTTCACCTCATTTATTCACCTTTCCATTGATAAACCAGAATCAGTAGACCAGAATCGTGGCAGAATCAGTCAGTGGCCATATTGCTACTGACCAAAAATAATACAGGAAGGAAACAAGCATTTTTAAAACATCTACTAAGTGCCAGGCAAACATTATCCTGTTTGATCCTAACAATAACCCTGAGGAATAGGTGCTATTATTATCCCCATTGTACAGTTGAAGAAATTGAGGCAGGCAAAGGTTAGGTGACTTGCCCAGGGTCACACAGCTACTAAGTGTCTGAGATTGGATTTGAACTGAAGTCTTCTTGACTCCAGGATCAGTCTCCCTTCACCCACTGTACCACATAACTGCCTCTAGTTAAGGACAGTGGAACACCTTGTTGGGCTAAGAGACGATGAGAGAGAGAGAGACAGACAGACAGACAGAGATGCTTTGGCCCTCTGAGGGGGGTAATTAATTGCTCCCGTATTTACTTGTAGAATTTCATAAGATAGCCACCTTTACCAGCTGCTGGACAAGAGGCAATATTTTCTGACATATTGCAGATAAGTCAGCTGAGGGAAGTTAGAATTACCTCCCTGCCTTTAGAATATTGCCTCGAGAAAGAAGAGCTGGACCAAAATGGAAAGAGAATGATCCAATGGGAAAATTGTAAAGCTGGCAGATGGAAAGGAACAACATGCCATAGCAGTGGAACATCTGCATGATTGGTACTACATGAATACACATGCTAGTATATGTTCAGAATAGTCTGTCTTTGAGATTCAGAACCCTTGGGGTTAGGTTTCTGTTACATGTCACTCTGTGAAATGCCCAGTCAGAGTACCACTAGCATTCTTCCATAATAAGGGCTTCTTAACATTTGGTGTTAATTCTCCAGCAAACTAGATGCACAGCTTTACCAGTAAGGGGCCCTGGCACAGCTATTTGCTTTAGCAAAAGATCCTTATCTTTCCTGTTCTTAGGCAGAAGTATAGTGTGAAACATTGTTAAATTATGGAGGACTAAAATAATAGGATGACAAGGGGTCATAAGGAAGTAGAAAAGACAGGTGACAATGAGTGAAAGTCTCTACATTCCTTCCCATCCTCCACAACTTTGAGTTAACAAGGCAGGTGCCAGAAAGTAATTAGTCCAAGAAAGACTTTGTAGTATGCTGATATTTCCGAAACTATTGTTTATGCAATCGCCAACGTGGAGCTATATGGAAAAGTTCTTCATTTTCCGACAACTATCTCTGTATATAATTGTATCATGAATTTTGTTGTAAAGTGATCAGAAAGGGTAGCATTTGTAATATGTGATAATCTCCTATTGTTTTAAATAGTTAATTGCCAATAAAGTCATTTTTACGGATTGATGAATTGCTCTTTTTTTTTTCTTAAACAACAAAAAACAAAGTCAGTGACATGGTCTTGATAGTTTTAGAAATACTTCCTACTTCTGTCCTATCCCTTTTGAGAGCAAGTTGCTGCTTTGGCTGCCTACTTCCTTCCTGACTGTATGTGCCCTTGAAATCAAATCTTTCAGTGTTCAGCCAGCCTGTAGAAATCTGCAAAGAAGGACAAGTTCTGGGGGTGGGGACCGTTCTCCTGGAATATGTAAATCCAACATATAACAATCTGCCTTTTCCCACCATTCCCACCCCCCTTTCATGTCTGTTTTAAGATGTCTGTTGTAAGCATGTGTTGTTTTTTTTTTTTATCACGGAGACTTACTTCTCTTTCCCTCAACAAGCCTACAGTAACAATGGAGGGGATGTAGGTTAACCAAACCTTCTTAACGTGAAGTCTAACGTAAAACTGTTTGTGGAACAAAAAACACAGGATGGAGGTGAAATCCCCTTGGCCTTTAAGGTGTCAGCCTGTATTGTTTACAACTTCTGTGAGGGAGCCGGAGGTGGGGAAACACCAGACTCGTCAGGGCTCTTTTAGGAAAGAGAGACGCTTGCAGTCACAGCTTCCACTGCAAGGTGCGCATTCCCCTTTCTGATGTAAGAAAAAAAAGAGGGATTTCTCCTTTTTTTCTTCTTCTTCAGTTTTATGCCATTTATTGACTGAAATGACACCTTAACTGTACTGTAGAGCTAAGTGGTAGCTGTAGCTTAACTAACAATGTGGAAAATAAAGATTTGTTGTCATAGACCTTTTATTTATTATTATAAATGTTTTACTTTATATTGGAAACTGGAAGCTTTTGTCAATGGAGTTTGCATTGACTGGGCCCAGGAACCCCCAAGTACTGGAAGTAGATACCTTGGAGGCTGATAAAGTACCAACTTTTATTTCTATTATTTCATTGGCACGGGCACTCTTCCCTTGAAACAGGTCACAATTCCTCTGAACCTTAGCAGATGGTATCATTAATAGATATAGCCAATCAATCAAGTATTTAGTATGCATATATTATGTTCTAGGCACTATGCCAGGCACTCGGCACACAAAACCCAAAGTAGTTACTACCTTCAAGGAACTTACACTCTATAGGAGGAGACAACATGATGATAGTTAACTAACCTTTATATAGCTCTTCAAGATTTGCAAAGTGTTTTACGTGCATATATTTACATACATATTCCCCTCACAACAACCTTGTGAGGTAGGTGCAATTATTATCCCCATTTTACAGATGAGGAAACTGAGGCTGAGAGAAAGAGAAATTAAGTGACTTGCCCAAGCTAGCAGGTTTGTGAAGTAAGATTTGAACTCAGGTCTTTCTGACTTCAAGTCCGGCACACTATTCACTAAACCAACTAGCTACTTCTATGTTATAAGCCTTTTATGTGTGTTTATGTATATGTGTGCATATAGACATTTTGTGTGTATATGTATGCATATGTAAATATAAATACACATATCTATATATCTATATCTATGTACATTTGCAAGCTGAGCCCCAAAACTCATTGATTTGGGTCTCTCCTCATTGGTGGATATTAGTGCCTGAAACCTGCTTGAGGAATCAATTTCTTCAGGCTTTGAGTTTCCAGTTTCAAGAAATTAGATGGATGATGCCAACATCTACCTAAGTTGCTGAA